TCTAGAAGGTCTACAGCTAAGCTTCCGGAACTCACTAAGACTCCTACGCTATAGACCTACAGATCGAACCCCTGCTGCCTATGGACCTACGACAGGCCTACCAACTGCCTACGAATGCACAGGTCACAGGTTCAATTCTCGGGGTCTACACAGATACTGTACATGAGTAGGGTGAGGTCTAGGGATCGAACCCTGGGTACTGCATCCGCTACTGTTAAAAGGTGAAAACCGTTTCACTCCCGCCGTCCTAATTTTGAGGTCCTCCGAGAAAATTTCAGTCCAAGGCGGGACCTTTACCTTTCTTGTCACGCTCATAGGCTCTGACTATGTCGGGAGCAGTCTCTAGAAGTTCTGCTTTCGTGAACCAGCGGTCGTCTTCCGGTTCCTAATAGGCAAACCGGACTTTATACTGTTTTTGGGGACGACCTCTACCTCCTGTCCTAAACACATCCTCTTCTACAATGCCCTCTATGTCATAGCTCCCATCCATATCCGGTGGGATCATGGATCTCCTGGAAGGGAACTGTTGACTAGTGATACACGGCAGCAGCTTTGAAGCATGAAACACAGGGTATGTGTGGAGGTGTGCTTGAATCTCAATGCTATAGGACGGTCCATCCTCTCCGCCCTTGACTTCTAGAACCGGCCACGGTCCTCTATATGCAGGCAGTAACTTCTGCGAGATGTTTTCTTCCGGTGCAAACTCTTTTGCCTTGACCCAGACTAAGTCGCCTACTTGAAACTGTGATGGGCGACGGTGCTTGTTAGCCTGCTCTATCATTCTGTGTTGGGCCTTCCGAAGGTTCTCAACAACAGTGGCTAACTCCTTTTCGTGCTGTATCGCAAACTCCCTGGTACCGGGCGGTAATCTGTGAATCTGATCCCGGTTCAGTCCTTCGAACGGTCTGCGCGGTCTAAAGGACTTGTGCAACTCATTGGGTGTGCGGCAGGTGGATAGATGCACACTGTTGTTGTATGCACTAGCTACCTTGGGCAACATCTCATCCCAGTTAATCTGATCTGGTCTAATGTACATGCGCAGAACTTSCTGTAGGATCTTGTTCATCTGTTCTGTCTGACCGTTAGTCTCTGGGTGACGGTCGGACTACATTAACAACTTAGATCCGTAGACTCTCATGAGTTCTTGCCAGTTCTGGCTGGTGAAACGACTATCTCTATCACTAACTATTGACAATGGGATTCCATTCTCACTAACCCAAAAGTCAAAAAACTTATGTATAACTAGGTCCGTACGTGCTTCTGCAGGCAAAGGAACAAAAATTGCATACTTACTAAATCGGTCAACTATGACCATGACTTGGCTCTTACCATGTCTGCTCTTGACTTGCGTGTCCATGAAGTCTATAGACACTGAGTCTCCTGGCTGATCCGGAATAGGCAAGGGTCTGAGAAGACCTAGGGGCGCGCGTGTAGTAGACTTATTCCTCTGGCACACTTTACAACTGCGGACATACTCTATGCAATCATTCTTCATCCCTGGCCAGGTATACGCACGCATCAGGTTGGCTAATGTCTTTTGCCAACCGAAATGCCGTTCAGTATCGTGGCATTCCCCTAAAATCAAACTGCGGATCTCTTCGCTGTTGGGAACGCACAAGCAGTCAAACACAATAGTCTTCTCAAACAACAACCCGTCTGTAGTGCGGTAATCTGGTTCAGTCTCTGGGGCCTCTCTAACTCTTTTTAGGAGGTCGCTATAGATAGGGTTGTGCGCATATGCTTGGCTCACTTTCCCCTGCAGGTCTCTCCCTATATTCAGATAGTGTAGTACAGCTCCAAAGTAGTCTGATCTCCTACTCAGAGCATCCGCAACTACGTTGTACTTGCCCTTCACTGGTTTGAGCTCAAAGTCGAATTGGTCTATCTCTGCGGCCCACCTAGTCAACTTAGGTGTCATCTTGGCCTGTGTCTTTAACCAACGAAGTGTCTCGTGGTCGGAATACACTTTGAAGTGCCTCCCAAGCAGATAGTGCTTCCAATGGTCCAAAGCCTGCCTGAGAGCGTAGAGTTCTCTCTCGTACGTGGAGGTAGCGACCTTCTCACAAGGCATCCTCGCTGACATGAACTCTACGGGCCATAGCCATTGCCGTCGTCTTGCTGCAACACGGCGCCTATCCCATACTGACTTGCGTCCGTGGTAACGACAAATGGCAAGGACGGATCTGCTACTTTGAGGACATGATATTCTATTAACGCGCGCTTTAACTTCTTGAGCGCAGACGTACAGTCTTTGTCCCATTGCCAGATTGCCTCTTTCTTCAGCAACCTGCGCAAGGGAGCGGCGATAGTAGAGAAGTTCCTTACGAACTTCCTATAGTAGTTAGCTAAGCCTAGGAACGACCGCGACTCTGTCAATGTGCGGGGCGTCGGCCAATCTCTAATCGCCGCTATCTTGCTGTCCTCGGGCTTAATGCCATCTCCGTCTAATATGTGGCCCAAGTATAGGACTTGCGTCTTGGCCCACTCACACTTCTTCGCATTGATCTTGAAGTCAGCCTCTCTAATCTTCCCCAAGACCTGCCTCAGATGACCCTGGTGCTCCTGAAGAGTCTTACTAAAGATTAGGATATCATCTAAGTAGACTACTACAAATTTATCTAACCACGGTCTAAACAGGTCATTCATACAATGTTGAAAAGTAGCTGGCGCGTTGGTTAGTCCAAAGGGCATGACTATAAACTCATAATGCCCATATCTAGTCCGGAACGCTGTACTGATCATCAGGATGAACCTCTATCTGATGGTATCCGGACTTTAAGTCTATCTTAGAGAAATACTTACAACCCTGTACCCGATCTAAAAGATCGTCTATCCTGGGCAGCGGCTCAGCGTTCTTTACTAGTGATCGCGTTCAAACCCCTATAGTCTATACACATACGAAGTTCTCCTTCCTTCTTGGGAACAAACAAAACGGGTGCTCCGAAAGGAGATGAACTGGGCCTGATCCAACCTTTCTCAAGGAGTTCGTCTAACTGCTTGCGAAACTCCTCTAACTCTCTAGGGGACATCCTGTAGACTGCACCCTTAGGAGTTCTACTGCCAGGCTCTATCTCTATCCTGTGCTGGATGGGTCGCGGCAYTACTCCTGTCGGCGACTCAGTCAAATCCTGGAACTCTTCCAGCAACTTGGCAATTGTTGGATCTGTGGAACTATCCTTTTCCTGTCCTTTAGTGACAGGTCTAACATAAACTACAAAAACCTGATCTTCTAACTGCTCCTTTCTGACTAATCGCGCGAACGTGGGAGCACTGAGACAGCAATGTGCCAAGGTGTTGTCTACACCCGACACGTGGAACAAGCGGGCAATCTTAACTTCGCCCGCCGGACTAGGGAGCCTACACTCATGCTCTCTCAAATGAAGTGTGGCCCCTGYTGCCTCTCCCCAATCCATTCCCAACACTATATCAAAAGGAGGTCATCTTGTACGAGGAGAGTCAGGGAATGGAGAACTTTCTCCACCTTCCCATCCTTCTCTAGGCGAAAGTACG